TGCCTCTCCAAGAGACCCTCCATCTCCCTGGGCAGGTGCTTGGCTCAGATGTACCTCTCACGCTTCTTGGGGATAACCGAGTGCCTTCTGCTGGCTGTGATGGCTTATGACCGCTGGGTGGCCATCTGCAAGCCGCTGCGCTACACCCTCGTCATGAACAACAGGGTCTGCCTTCAGCTGGCGGCCATGTCGTGGAGCGGCAGTTTCCTCCTGTGCCTGTCCGATTTCCTGCCCAAGCAACCTCGCTTTTGCGGGCCCAACGCCATCAATCACTTTGTTTGTGAGCTCCAGGCCATGCTGAAGCTGGCCTGTTCGGACACCCGCAGCAACCAAATCGTGATGGTCAGCACCAGCGTCCTTGTCCTGCTGGTGCCCTTTTCCTTCATCCTTGTGGCCTATGTCCACATCATTGCAGCTGTGCTGAGAATCCACTCCACCCAGGGCAGGACCAAGGCCTTCTCCACCTGTGCCTCCCACATCACCGTGGTGGCCTTGTTTTACGGGGCGGCCATCTTTGTGTATCTGCGGCCTCAGTCCAAATCTTCCCCGGATCAGGACAAGTACATTTCCCTCTTTTATGGAGCAGTCACTCCGGTTCTAAACCCTCTGATCTACAGCCTGAGAAACAAGGATGTGAAGGAGGCCCTGAAGAAGTTGGCAGGAACGAAAATGAATTGCTGAGAGCTTCTGAGAGCTTTGATTCCTTTCTCCCATCTGTGCTTCAGAGCCTTCTTCATGTGCCTCCTGACTTAACAACGTAGAGACGCTCAGGATAGAGAGGGGTAGAGGAACCTGATTCCTGATCTAAATGACATTGGATGGTGAAGGAAGGATTCCAGTTTCCCAGACTGAGGCAGACTTTATTTGTTAAAGTTTCACCTCGCATCTCTTTCTGTAGTAAATTATAAGTGAGTAGAATAAAGGAAGATGGGAATAAAAAGTCAAAATATTTTTTTTTCTCAGAACAGGAAATCTTTTGGTACAGAAGTGTCAAAATGTTATGTCTGACATTAACCTGTCTTCCCCTG